TTTATTTTTTTGGAAATAAAGCCTCCCTTAGTTGTCCCAGCTCACTGTAACCTCAAACTCCTGGGCTCAAGTGATCCTCCCCAGTAGCCGGCACTACAGGGGCATGTCACCAGGCTCAGCAAATTTATTTTTATTATTATTATAGACACAGAGTCTTATTTTTGCTCAGGCTAGTTTTGAACTCATGACCTTAAGTGATCTCCTTGGCCTCCCAAAATGCTAGCATAGAGGCATGAGCCACTGTGCCTGGCCCATCCCATTTTATGAATGAAAAACAGGAGGCACAAACAAGTTGGAATCTAGGCCTCCAAGCTCCCAAACCTGCACTGCTCTAAATCTTTCAAATAGCCAAGGCATAACAAGTCCCTCTCCACTGAAAAACAATGATAGAGAAAGCTTTGGAGTAAACAAGTTTTATATTAATAGATAAGCAACTGAATTGTGGAGTACGATGCAAATTTGCATACAATTTTAAGAGAAAACATGAGACCTGAGTTTTGCTCAATAGGGCATTGGCTCTATAGACTTTCACATCCTTACCAACCCACCCCTTGTTGGGTCTTGTACTTTATAACACCAGTATCTCTATAATAAATAGATAGCAAAGTCTTCTGGAATACAACAGACACTAAACATTGACAGCTGAGAGATTGTATTTATTAAACACCTATTATAACTATGCCAGGCATGTAGCTATGGACTATCCTAATTCAGCTCATTTTGTCCCTGCAATGACACTAACTACTATTATTATCCCCAATTTATATACAAGTAAAATATTCATGAACAGGGTCTGACTGCATGGATCCCTCTGAAAACAGAATGCTAGGTTCCTAGTCCCACCATGTGCTAGTCATGTGACCAAGGGCAAGTTACTATGCCTCATTTTCCTTATCTATAAAATATGGATAGTAGTACTACTATACAGAGTTGTTATTAAACCTTTCCTACCCCACAAAGAGATAATAGTTGTTTGGTTTGGGTTTTTTTTTTTTTTTTTTTTTTT